TTATTGATAGCAAAAAGGCCATAGGTTCATTATTGGAAAACAATTAAAAATTCAGACAGGGAACTGGAGAGATGGCTCAGTGGGTAAAGTGCTTTCTGTGAAGTCTAAGGACCTGATTTTGGATCCCAGCACCCACATAAAAAAGCCAGGTGTGACTGTGTGCACCTGTAACCCCTGTCTGTGTGGGGTGGAGGTGGGAAAATTGCTGGATCTTGTTGACCAGCCATCCTTGCTTCATGTTTAGTAAGAGGCCCTTCTCAAAGGAATAAGGTGGAGTGTGATAGATCAGGATACCAAGCATCCTTTGGTCTCCATGAGCACAATGGTACACATACACGTATGTACATATACCCCCCACAAATATAGATAAGCAAAAAGACAGAAATGAATTAAAAAACCTTACACCCTCCCCATCCCATCTATCCAGTTTTGTTGTTGTAGTTGTTGTTTAAGAGACAGGAGCTGGCCTTGAACTCAATGTGTAGCAGAGGATAGCCTTGAATTCCTGGTTCTCCTGTCTCTGCCTCCTATGAGCAGAGACATGCAGGTTTGTACCATCATGCCTGGCTTCCAACACTTCAGTTCCAGGGTATCTGAGGGCCTCTTCTGTCCTCCATGGGCATTGCACAAGATAGGTGCACTTACGTGCATGCATAACACTCATACACATAAAATAAAAATAATAAATAAAATATTACAAAAAAAAAACAATGCCTTCTTACTAGGTCAGAAATTCAATTTGATTTTCCTGAGCTTTATTCTCATCATTTCAAGAGGCTGGAATCATATGTTGGCAAGCCTGAGTTCTCATCTGGGGGCCCAGAAGAAGAATCCACTCTGGGACCCACATAAAAAAGCCAGGTGTGACTGTGTGCACCTGTAACCCCTGTCTGTGTGGGGTGGAGGTGGGAAAATTGCTGGATCTTGTTGACCAGCCATCCTTGCTTCATGTTTAGTAAGAGGCCCTTCTCAAAGGAATAAGGTGGAGTGTGATAGATCAGGATACCAAGCATCCTTTGGTCTCCATGAGCACAATGGTACACATACACGTATGTACATATACCCCCCACAAATATAGATAAGCAAAAAGACAGAAATGAATTAAAAAACCTTACACCCTCCCCATCCCATCTATCCAGTTTTGTTGTTGTAGTTGTTGTTTAAGAGACAGGAGCTGGCCTTGAACTCAATGTGTAGCAGAGGATAGCCTTGAATTCCTGGTTCTCCTGTCTCTGCCTCCTATGAGCAGAGACATGCAGGTTTGTACCATCATGCCTGGCTTCCAGTTATACATTCTTTTTACATTTTTATTTATATTTATTTCCATGTGTATGAGTGTTATGCCTGTATGTATGTAAGTGCACCTGTGTCATGCAGTGCCTGCAGAGGACAGAAGGGCACCGGATCCTCTGGAACTGGAGTTACAGATGGTTGTGAGCCATGATGTGGGTGCTGGAATTTGAATCCTGCTCCTCTGCAAGAGCAGCCAGTGCTCTTAACTGAGGAGCCACCTCTCCAGCCCCCCAGCTATCCATTCTTGAACATATGATTGAATAACTTTCAAAATCTCTCTGGAGTGTGCTTTCAGATACTAATACCTGTTTACATTCACTTTTGTGTTTAATATTTCAGTTCTTCAAACATTTTAAACAACAGCATTATAAGACATCCTTTATACATCATAAGATCATAAAGAGCATGATTTTGTGGAATTTTTTTTAGCATACTCAGAGTTGCACAACTATCACCACTAATTCCAAAACATTTTCATCACTCAAGAAAGTAACACATATCCATTAGCAGCTACTGTTGTACAACCTATGGCTTTTTGTGTCTGGTTTGTTTCTCACCTAGCACAATGTCTTCAAGGGTTATCTCATGTATCAGACCTTTAGTCATTTTTATGAGTGACTAATATTCCAGGGTTTGGATTCTACTGAATTCATCAGTTGGTGAACATTGAATAATTTTCACTTTTCTGAATTCATTTTTCTGAATCAGGCTGCTATAAACATTATGCTCAATTTTTTACATACATATGTATTTTTAATTCTTCAGGGTGTATACTTAGGGTTGGAATTTCTGGATCTCAGGGTAGTATTATGTTTAACCTTTTGAGGATCTGCAAAAGCATCAGCACCATTTTACATTACCACCAAAGTTCCAAGTTTCCAACATTCTCACCAATACTTGTTATTATCTGTCTTTTCAAAGATAACCATCCAGGGGCAGGTAAGCTGGCTCAGAGGGTAAAGGTGTTTCTTACCAATCCTGACAACCTGAGTTCAAGCCCCAGGACCCACACGGTAGAAATAGAGAACTCTCAAATATTGTCCTCTGACAAATTTCTACAGGTGTACCATGGCATTCATGAGCCCCCAACACATAAAAATAAATAAGTAAATGTAAGAAAAACTTAAAGAAGATAGTCATCTCATTGGGTGGAAGTGATGTTTCATTGTTTTTATTTGCATCTCCCTGGTGACTAATAATATTTCATGAATAGCTTACAAACAGAAACTTGCTTTTCACAGGGACGTTTAGGAACAAGATGTCAGCAGATTTGGGTCTGGTGAGGAGCAGCTTCCTGGGTCACTGTGCAGCTAGCCACACTCCGGTCTCTTACTTTTTCATCCATCCATCTATTTACTTATTTATTTATTTATTTTTGAGACAGGGTTTGTTATGGAACCCAAGCTGACCTTGAGTTTCTGATCCTCCTGCCTCAGCCTCCCAGAGTGCTGGACTGTAGGTGTGCACCACCAAGCCCAGTTCAGTTCTCTTTTATAAATTCACTAATCCCATTCACCAGCAACCCCCATGCCCAAACCATCAGATTATTCCCTGTATAAAAATCTCTATGAGTAGACTTGTTAATGTATGCATACTGGAGTCATTTACTAAGCACAGTTGCAAAAATTCCTTCCCTTTACAAAATCATCAGGGTTGGGGTTAGGATTTCAACATATGAATTTTGAGGGGTAGGGGTGTTTGTACCACAGCGCCTCTCAAGTGTACCATTTTGTCCCCATCTCTGTATCCAGGCAGAGCTGTGGTCTCACAGTTTGTCTTTTTCTCCTTTTCTAGCCTTCACAGCTCCAGTCCGACTTCCTCTGGGGTACCTCCAGCCCTTGAACATGGTAGTGCCCTAGCAACTGCATTTCCTCGAACTGCTTAGACGGCCTATGTATGTAGACTCGCTGTTGGAGGGTGATCTATACACAGAACCAAATCTCAGTCTTGAGGGACCGCTGGGTTCCCAGGTCCGCGGGACAGCTTCAGCAACTCGACATCTCAGAAAAGGTAGCGGATTGGGCATCTACAAGATATTTATTCCCCGAGGTACTTTTCCAGTTTGGCTAACCACAACACGCACTCTTGGCCTGTGGTTTGAACGTGGACTTTCCACCACTCCTGATTCGGTGAGCTCCTTTAATCCCCGGCTCTGCACGGAACTAGGCTGCACAGGCTTGAAGAACCAACAGATCAATACTCGCCTAGGACCAAGCCTTTGATGACAGTTCTCCAGGCAGCGGCAGTTTCCTGTAAGCCTCTCAAAGCTGGCTTTTCGGGCTTTGATCTAAGATCTTGAGTGTTTGGAGAGGAGATCGGTTTGACTTCTGACCTCCTTGTTGGAAGTCGGGACAATCCGGGGACCCTCACTGGAGGGCCTGGCTTAGGAGAGCCAGGGAAAAGTTTGCAGCGCGCCACGCGCCAGGAGTCCACTGCAGAGTCTCCAGCCCCGGAGCCGCGCCCAAGCGGCGGGCTCAGAGCGTGGAACGAGGGGCGCGGCCGGGCGCCGCCCACACCCGGGGCTGCTCTAGGCACCGAGAGTGGCAGCACTCAGCTCCGGTGCCACACAGTGGCAGAGGCAGGGAGACCCGGCTCCGCGGGATGGCGGTGGCCCTGCGGGCTCCGGGCTGGGCACCGCGATCGCTGCTCCTTCTGCTGCTGCTGCTGCTGGGGCGGTTGTCTCCAGGTAGGAGCGCGGTGGCTCCGGACCCCGCGGCTGTGGCGCGGGACAGCCTGCACCCGCCCTACTTCAACCTGGCCCAGGCGGCAAGGATCCGGGCCACCGCCACCTGCGGGGAGCGGGGCCCCGGGGTCGCGAGGCCACGGCCGGAGCTCTACTGCAAGTTGGTGGGCGGTCCCACCGCTCAAGGCAGCGGCCACACCATCCAGGTATGGAGAACCCGGGTGGGTCGGGGCTGTGACTCGCTCCGCAAATGGGATGTTCACCTGGGGTCAAAGGATGGGTCTTTTCTCCACGCGCTCAAGGGACGCCAGATGACAGGATGGGGCTGCCCCAACCCGGGGCTGGCTGGGGACCCCCGCGATGTGGGCGTAGTGCTCCAGGGGCGAGCTTGTGGGAGCACTTTTGGCTGCACACAGCGCAAGGCAGGGATGAGCGAATCGCGGGTGAGAAAGGACGGTGGTCAGGTTCCAGCACTTAGAGAAGGAAGTCCGAGCTAAGCCCCAGACAGGCAGACAGGCTGAACTATATCACCCAGGTGGTGCCTGACCCGCTCATGATTATCCGGGGCCTCATTGGCACGTGTCTGCCAGGCCCTTCATCCACGACCTTATGCAGAGGACTTTGGTAGCCCTTTCAGGTTACATCTGTAGTACTACTTTATTGGCACCGAAAGATTCATTTCACTTGATGTGCCAACATGCAGTCGCTGGGGGCCTGAGACATTCAGTGAGCAGAAACAGTGTGGAGCTCAGAGAATCGAATCTCCTGCTGGCCACACCTGTTGGAGATGATGGTGCGTGTGGCTTGTGCTTAATCAGCATCTGGTGGTGTGCCAGGCCCTCGCTCCAGCGTCTCATTACCAGCTGGGAGGTGCTCAGCCCAGGAGGGTAAGAAATGTGTTTGCGTCCTAAAGGTACTAGGGGCGATTGAATCCAGTCCTAAGTCCAAATCCTATACTCTGAGCCGTCCTCACCTCCCTTTCCTGGAAGAGCTGAGGAAAAAAAGGGTTCCCAGAAGAGGGAGCAGTTCTGTGGCCTGCTCCCAAAGTAGGAGTTTATTCTAGGTGTCTAGGTTAGTAGGTTAGAGACTCTTTTACAAAAGATAAGCTGGGCATAGTGGCGCATGCCTTTAATCCCAGCACTCGGGAGGCAGAGGCAGACTGATCTCTGTGAGTTTGAGGCTAGCCTGATCTACATAGCCAGTTCCAGGACAGTCAGGGCTACATAGTGAGACCTTGTCTCAAAAAAAGTAGTGGACCTGATGGGTCATAGATGCTAATTTTCTTATAAATTATATGCATGTATAATCATGCTAACATATTGTACATATTATAAAACACAAAGAAAATATTTTTAAAAGCAAATAACATTTTACCATACATTTTATACATTGTAAATATGCAAAAAGGGAAGTTAAAAAAGATAATGATGGAAACACTTTTAAATTTTCTCCAACAGGTACCAAATGTTTTGCTTTAATTATTTTATTGTGGATAATATACACATGCACAAATGTAATTATGGAATTAGTTCTGACACATTTACTTTGACACTTGTGAGTCAACAATTCCAAGCTGATTTTACAGTAATACTTGATTTTAGTGGGGGCACACCTGAAAAGATGCCCTAAAATGTATAGGCTCATGCTGATGGTATAGCTCAGTGGTAGAGTGCTTAGCATGCCGGAGGCCCTCGGTTCAATCCTTAGTACCACAACCAGACAGAAAACCAAAACACCACCCTTGGCTGCAGGGTGTGGCAGTGTACATTTGTAACCTCAGCACTGGAGAGAGCATGCACCAGGAAGAGTGAGAATTTGAGGCTAGCCTGGGCTACACAGCAAGTTCAAGGCCAGCCAGGGCTATATGGTGGACACCTGTGTGGAAAAATGAGCAATTCTTTGATGCCTGAGCTCATTTCCAGATGCATGATTAGGTAATTAGGGACCTCAAATGTGTCTCACCATGTTCTCCCTTCTAGTCTTCCTAGAGGATAAACTAAGAGAGTGCTAGAGGGATGCTCAGACAATGTGCTTGCCGAAGAGTGTACAGCAATGTGGGTCGTTAGGGTCATCTCCTTTTGTCTTTTACCCTCCTGTTTTTCTGGTCCCTTGCCTTGCCACTTTCAGTTGCTTTCTCTCCTCTTTTTTTCTAGTGTGGGCTATGTAGGCAGTCTGCAGAAGCAATTGTGATTCTCTTTAAAGGCACTGAATTACCAGACTGCATTATATGTTAAATGAACATGCTTTTCAATTTAAAAACGTTTAGGATGGTGACAGGAGAGGAGTCCTACCAAGTGTGCACCGTGTGTGCACAGGTACCTTGCTGTCCGCTCTCACTAAGTCATGGCACTCGGAGTTCTGCCCCATCCTTCAGGCACCAGACCTTCTTTTTAAGTAGAAACTTGACTAGTGACTGGTCCATTTTCAAGTTGTAGTCAGCATTTTTTACCAGGGGATATATCATGTTTTAATGTTTCAAACAATTCAAAACTCACTACAAGTTTTATTTTGGAAAAATTAAAATATGTGAGAAAATTTTGTTTCCACACTATACTAGTTAGCTTTCTGTTGTTGTGATAAAACACTTTGACTAAAACCAAGCTGGGGAAGACAGGCTTTATTTGGCTTACAGGTCCCAATCACAGTTCATCATTGAGGGAAGCCAAGGCAGGAACCTAGAGGCAGGAACTGAACCAGAGACCACCGAGGACCTCTGCTTACTGACTTGCTCCTCTGGCCTGCACTCTGACTGCTTTCTTATACATCTCCGGACCACTTGCCCAGGAGTGGCACCACCCACAGTGGCCTGGCCCTCCCACAGCACTCAACAATCAAGAAAATGCCAAACAGACATGCCAACAGGCCAGTCAATGGAGGTAATTCCACAGCTGCAGTTCCTCTTCCCAGGTGTGTCAAGTTGACAGACAAAGCAAACTATGACACTTTAGAAAATGAAAAGATGAGTGTTTTAGCTATGTATAGCTTTGCAGCAACAAAAGATGGAAACATCTCCAAACATCTGCTTTTCAAAATACTTTTTACAAGGCATCTATTTCCTAGAACAGTATTTATTGTTTTATACACTGTTGAAACAAGACCTCTATTTGATGAAGAATGCCTGCCTGCCTTATTCTGTAACTATCTATCAGGTTACTGTCTAATAGATGTTTGCTGGCAGTCAGCTGCCTGTGCATTGCATGGCACAGGTGCAGTTGCATACATGCAGTCAAAACATACACATAAAAAATTTAAAAGCACTTTATTAGCATATATAGCACTTTAGTAGCAATAAAAATACTGGGTTTCATTGTGGCATTTTCATATATGCAAATCATATGTTGATCACTTTCCCTTCTCTCCCCTCCCCTATTCTTTCCTCCTCTCTAATAGTCCGCTTTCTGCTTTTCTGTCTTTTCTTAAAATTTAGCTTCTGCATATGAGGGCGAACATGGGAGATTTGCCTTGGCGAGTCTGGCTTATTTTGTTTAATATGATCTCTAGCTCCATTTTCCTTTATATGATACAATTATGTTCCTTTTTATTGTTAAATAATACTCTACTGTGTGTATATACATCACATTTCTTTATCCATTTATTCTTATCTGGATAGGTTGAGTCCATATCTAGGCTATTGGGAATAGTGTGACAGTCAACATGGATGTGCAGGTATCTCTGTGGTATCCTAACTTTGATATTTTGTATATAAACCCAGGACTTGGGGTATAGCTTGATAATATATGGTAGTTTTACCTTTTCACCTTTTAAAAATATTTTTATTTAATTTTTTATTTTATGTGTATGAATGTATTGCCTGCACGTATGTAAGTGCACCCATGTCATGCAATTGCCCTCAGGAGTCAGAAGAGGGCGTCAGAGTTACTGATGGTTGTTAGATGCCATGTGGTTGCAGGGAATTGAACCTGGGTCCTCTGCAAGAGCAGCCAGTGCTCTTAACCGCTAAGCCATCTCTCTACCCCATACTCTTTCATTTTTTTGTAGGAACCTCCACGATTTCCTTAGTGGCTACACTCATTTACATTCCCACTAGCGGTGTGCAAGGGCTTCTTTTTCTTCTTCCTCACCAGCTCTTGTTGCTTTCTTCGTGGCATCCATGCTGACTGAGATAGGATCTTCACGTAGTTTTGATTTGCATTTCCCTGTTGACTTAAGAATGTTGACCATTTTTCACGTATTTATTACACCTTCTTTTGGAAGGTGTCTGATCAGCCCATTTCTCTACTGATAGATTATTCTTCTGGTGTTTAGTGTTTTGAGTTCTCTATCCTGGATATTAATGCCCTACCGAATGGCTAGGTGACAGAGATTTTCTCCCACCCCATAAGCTGCCCCTTCATTCTGTTAATTATTCTTTGCATGGTGTAGAAACTTTTAATTGTCCCATCATCACACCTTGCTATAATCTCCTGATCTATTGGAGCCCTGTTTGGAGTACCATTCCTTTGCCATATCCTGAGATGTTTCTTCTTGTTTTTTTCTAGTAGTTTCAAAGTTTCAGATCTTGTACCAAGGTCCTTGATTGATTTTGATTAAATTTCCATCAGGGTGAGAGGTAGAAATCAGGAAACCTTCAGTTTTCTGCATACGAATAGCCAGCTTTTCCAGCAGTTTGTTAAATTGCAATCTTTTCTTTAAAGCGTGTTTTTGGAATCTTTGTTGAAAATCAGATGACTGTAGCTGTGTGAGTTTATTTGGTGGCCACCTATTCAATTCAGTTAGTCTATGTTTTGGTTCTGTGCCAGTATCATGCAAGTTTAGTTACTATGGCTCTGTAGTATAATTTGAAGTCAGGTATTGTGAAAGCTTCAGCCCTTGCTCTTTTTGCTATTCAGGATCTTTACTTCCATTACAGTTTTGATAGGGGCTACACTGACTCTATAGATGTTTTTGGTACCATGGTCATTTTAGCACTGTGATTTTCTTTTGGCAGTTGTATCCTTGTTTGAGTTAGATATCAGGATGATAATGTCTTTATAAGATAACATTGGAAGAGCCTCTTCCCTTTCTATTTTATGGAACAGTGTGAGGACTATTGGCATTACTTCTTTTTATTTTTGTTTTTAAAAATTTATTGTTTTTTATATGTGTATGAGTGTATTGCCTGCATTGCATATATGTTAAACGTACTGGTGTCATGCAATGCCTGTGGAGGTCAGAAGAGGGTGTCAGATTCCCCTGGAACTGGTGT